GTTGCTCCTAGATTTAGTCGTCTTCTTCAAGGTTTCTTGCCTCAGCACAGACTGCTCATCATCCGGGATGTACGTGTCAACGTCTCTGTGAGCCTCACCCGCCCACACATCAGGCAAGAGCTCGAGCTCAGGGTGCTCAAGAATGCCGCCAGATGCAATGGAACTGCGATGTCCTCTACCATGCCTGCGAAACTCTGTGCTCTGACTCCCGAACATCTTGGTGTAGTTCTTCATGAGGGTCTTGCCGAAAGTCATCGAGTTGCTCTTCGCTACACGACCACTGCCAACCTTCTTTTTCTTCTTTTTCTCGCCAGGCAGGAGCGGGGTAGAGGGTCTTCTCTCTGTAGGGTCGATCAAGTCCTCGTCATCCGTTGCTGAAGCAAACTTGATCGCTGCCTCGAGTGCGAAGTCGCGAGGCTGGACGTTGTCGGCCTTTCCTGCAGAGGCAGTACGGTCATGGCGCGTGTGCGAAGGGTAGCGACCCCAGGCCCCGACGACATCCGTGCTGTCGCCTTGCCGCTCAAATGCATTTGCCACTTCTTGTCCAACGCTAACATCATCACGCCCCACCATAGCACTGCGACGAGACACCATCTTGAACAGCCCTTCGGAGCGCTCTTCACCAGGTGTTTCGGCATGGGGATCCAATGTCGATACCCGTGTGCTAGACCCATCATCAGCTCGACTAGCTGGATCTAGGCCTTCGACACTGATGCGTCTAACGGAAACGCTGCCGCTGCGCTCGCGGAAAGGGCTCGCATGGACAGCAAGATCCCTGTTCTTGGGAAGATAAAGAGATGCTTTCTCGTCTTGGTGCGCTTGCAGAGCGCGATCCCATGTTTGATTGGCGCCTTTGTTCTTTCCAAGCGCGTCCTGTTCGGCCTGCATGCTTATCAATGACCGTGACTGACGACGTCCATGATTAACAGGGAGCTCCAGCGTATCGGATGGACCATCCACAGCAGCAAGCGCGACGGCGGAGGAGGCAGAAGCTTCAGACTGGAGGTTCGCTTCACTCTGACTGCGCAGACTTAGGCGCTTCGGGTTCAAGAACTTGATGATGGACGCCGACTGTGTCATCTTCTTCTTGGGCGGAGATGGGCTGAACTCTTCCCGGAATTTTGAGGTCTTGGTATCAGCAACACTGTTCTTGCGTGCTAGCGGCGCCGGTGGTGCAAGAAGCGTAGGCTCGATCGCTTGACCAGTGACAGTTGCGAGGTTGGTAAGACCATGTCGTTTAGCTGGTCTTGGTGTGTCTTCGTTGTCTGTAGGAAAGGAAGCAGAACGTCGAGGCCGTCGTATGTCGGCAGACGAAATGCTGACCGGGCGATTCTCAGTATCAGTACGCGGTAGAGTTGTTACCGATCCTCCAAAACTGTCGGGTGGGCTTTGGGGCCGACTCGAGTAGATGGAAGAGGCAACATCAGGTCGGGTGTCAAGATCGTTCGGCAAGACCCTACCCCATCTACTCGGAACCTTCGAGCTGGCAAAGCCTGAGCTGGATGATTGCCGGTCATGGCGGGCTAGTTGCTTATTCAGTGGGGAAGTCCGACTTTGGTCTGAGACAGTACGTTCACGGAATACGCGAGGTGGAGTTGGAAGCTCTGGTGCATCGGCAAGTTGATCCCATGAGAGAAGAGATCCGGAGCGTAGATGATGTGAAATGCGCATACTGTATAGATGTACAGATCGACGTGGGTTGTCATCGTCGTCGTCGTCCTCGCCGTTGTGTGCCCCTCCCCGTGCTTTTCGCGGTGAATCTCCACGGAGAGTGCCTCTGATGGATGTAGACGGCCTTGGAGTTGCAGTGGAAGTGGGCTGTTGAACGCGGATCTCAATGAGGCGAGCAGAAGGAGAAGGATTCGGTCCAAGGGCTCGGTACGACGATACCGAAGCGGAGCTGCTTCGTTTCTGGTGCCGCTTATGGCCGTCGTTGTTGAAAGTGGTTACAGATGCTTGTGGGCTGATATGGCGTGGAGGCACAGGAAACTGCGAAAGACGGAGACTCTTATGCATTATCTCAGACCATGGTATGCCAGCGGAGTCGTGGTCGGTAAGGCTTGGAAGTCGTAATGGTGAGAGGGGAGAAGGCTTCGGTAAGCCCATGGACGTAGCGGAGTGCGAGCGTCTCACTCTGTTGTCCTTTCCACCAGGCGTATCTGATCGCAGATTGGGCGTGCTGAACACTTGACTGAAGCGGTGGGAGAAAGGACCGGCCTGTGGCTTGTTGATACTGTAGGGAGGAAGGTCATCGTTGAGCTCGCCGCTAATACGGTCTCTTTTCGACGAGTCTGGTGTTGTTTTGCTGGCCATTGTTAGTACGACGTGACAACGAGCTCACGACATCTAACCTTCCGGTAGTGGTAGTCCAATCGATGCTGTGGATGCTTGCACGCTTGATAGGTGACTTCTTGCCAATGTTGTTTGCGATTTCGTCAAGTGCCTCAGCATCTGAATCATAACCGCCCTCATCAGGCTTCTTGTCGCTGAGTAGATCCTTGCGTAGGTCATCTTTGGTAATCTGAAGCTGCTGATTCGTTCCATCTTTCAGCTGCTTCACGACAGTGCCGGCAGCCGGTGTGATGTTCCTCTGCTTCGGCTGCAGATGTGGTGATGAAACGGTCGGAGCTTTCTTAGGAAGCTCCTTCGAAAACTTGCGTCTGATCAGTGAACGCATACTCGTCATCTTGTGTAGACTGCGGATGCTATGCATCGAAGGACGGCTGAATCGTGCACGAAGCGTCCGCATTGGCATAGCTCGGTCTTCGTGAGGGTCGCGAGCGTTGTGGAAGATCTCATGTAGCTCATGGAGGTCTTCCGAACGGGCACTCGTGAAGCGTGAATTGGGTGAGCTAGCATCTTTGGGTAAGAGTGGCCTGTTCACCGGTGTAGGCTGACTGACGCGGGCGTTGGGTAGCTCGGGCGAATCTGAACGATCGTCCTGTTCGGCCGTACAGCACAGCTTGGTCGCCATGATGGCGAGGTGGTGAAGGAAGGATGAGTGGGTGGCTGCACATGGAAATTTGCTGGTTTGTTGACGTCCGCGTCACTGCACGTGGAGTGCTTGCCCAAGGTCAGAAGCTGGGAAAGAGGGGTGGAAACAAGCAGCCTTTCGATGCCAACATGAGCTTGCGGAAGTGCCAATGGTTGCAGAAGACATGGTAACGTATGGGAAGTAGTTTCGATGACGAAGACTAAACATAATGGCGTGAGATGCTGGATGGGTTGGGCAGTCGCGGCTGCATCTATGTTGTGGCCTCATATGGTGTGGAAGGAGCGTGTCATATGCCGTTCATGGCGACTTCCCAATGCAGTGGCTATCCAAACATACAACACAAATCTGATGCACCCGAAGCGGCGCTTGGTCGCGATATGCATGTCCTCTGGTGTTGCGTCTGAGAGACTCGAATATGCATCACCGTTGCACTTGCCATGTACGTGGTTGCATTTCAGCCCATCATCTTCTTGCCGCTAGCGTCCTCGCTGTATAAGCCCTGATCTTTGATCCAAGCGGCGACGCCTTCAGTACACAACTTGCCCACTGTGTCCCAGTCTCCCGCGTTGGCTGCCTTTCTCACTCTGGTAGAGCTTATACCAACGCCTTCCTCGGCTTGCACCATGTCGATGTTGTTGCTCCAAGCAGGCTCGAAGCCAGCCTTCTCCTGGTTGCCGTCTTTCAGGTTCTGCAGGTATTTCTCCTGCTCCTCCGTTGTACCAAATTCGTTGGACGACTCATCGCTTGGGTCCGTCGGTCGCTGGGTCACGCGCAGCTTGTGGCCGGCATCGAAGAAGGGCTTGAGGGCCGAAAGCGGTGGGTCGTACTTGGGGTAGTATTTGGGGTTGCAGAAGCGGATCAAGGTGTCGTAGCCGACGAGGTGGATATGAATGGGTCGCGACGCGTAGAATGGTGGTGTGGTCTCGGCTATAGCAACCGACTTGTCACTGTAGTATGGTTCCTTGGTTAGGCCAATGTCTATCGACACGTTGGAAACGTCATCATTCATCGAAGGCGACGCGCTCTTCAAGCTTCGCGACAGGTCCTCGGCAAACACGGTCATGAGGGCGATGCGCTGCACGAAGCTTGCCGGACTCGGTGCCTTGTCCGCATTGTGGGTGCTGAACAGCAGTAACAGCCGATACGGACTCTTCTCTAGGGACGTCGACTGCTTCAGGGCTGATGTCGCGAGGGTGAGATGTGCAATGGAGGGTGGGTTGAAGGAAGAGTCGAGGATGTATAGTGTCTTGGGCTGTGTTGGCGTGTCGTTGACTGTCCGTACGACGCGGAACTTGGCAGGAGACGAGGTAAATGAATGCAGCGCTGATTCGAGATCAGGTAACAAACCTCTTACTGACGCGATTCGCGATGCCATGTCAGCCATTGTGGTTGCGATGCTTCACCGATGCGCTGAGCTCAAAGCGCGCGGGGAGCTCTTCTCGCGTCCGGCACGTCATGGCTCTCACCCCTGCCCTCGTACAACACCAACACCACAACCTCCTGCATCCCCAATAACGCCACAGTCACGCTCTCTTTCCGGAACTTCACATCCAGTCCCCACGGTTGTTTTCGACAAGGGCTCTGCCAGACATGTACAAACTCACATTATAGTGCTGCTTCGATGACACGCTCACAAGAGCGGCAATCCCCTCGGAAAGCGTCCAAGTGGATCTCGCGCCACCTTCCCATTGGCTCTTCACGATGGTCTGAGCTGGCGGGGAACCTGGAAGCCCTGCGCATCCGTGACAATGGCCAAAATGCGACTTTCAGGTGTTTGCATCTGCATCTGCATCAACCCCAGGCAAACAATCTCCATCGCGCTGACTTTGTTGTGGCGGAGGGCGGCGCATGGGCTCTGCGACTCATCCACTGATAACTCTTCAGTAGCTTTGCATAGCTTGTCAAACCGCCAGATCTTCATCTCTTTAGCCCAATACATTATTCCATCGGCCTAGATCAGGTATCAACCCATAATCCATTGGTGGCCATTTCCATCTGTCACACCATGGCTTCATTCTTTTCGTCGAACTACAGGCAATATAAGAAGGACACAGGTTGGTCGACTGCCTGATTGGACCTTCCTCAATTAACACATCCAGAATACATCGCAGGATGGCTAGCAGCAACCGCCGAGAAAGTGGGCTACCAGCGCAGTAGCTGTCTAGCTCCTCCACAGTCAACTCCGCAGCCAGCTAAACGACTCAAAGGCAAGGCGAGGAAAGAAGCCCAAAAAGCTGCTGCTGCTTCCGCGAATACCCCTGCAGATACCTATCGCATCAATGTCGGCGAGTTTGTGCCCATGGCAGAAGCCATTGCGAAGAAAGTTCCCAAGGTCGAGGTCCCCGGAGCGCTCAGCAAACTGTTCGATCGTGCCATCCAGGCTCGAGAAAAAGCGGCAACTTGGTTCAAACAATCGCATAGCGACACGGTCCTAGACGAGAGCAATCAGACCCATGCTCACTTCGTCGACATTCTTAGAAATGCTGCTGATATCCTTCAGCCGCTGGTGAAGGAGTCGGTGCCTCGTGCTCAAAGAAAGGAGCCAAGTCAAAAGTCCGACGTTGATTCCCTGCGAGAGATGAAGAATACTTTCTCCAGTCTCTCGGTGGACCCTGAGAATGCTGCTGAAGAGGCTGAGCCTGAGGATGAGCTTGAGGAGGAGCCTGCCCCCAGACCAGATGACTCGATAGAATCGCTACCTCCTGTGAACCCTGTTGAAATTCAGCAAGACGAGTCGGAAATCGAATCCGAGTTCTTCTTCGCTATCCAGTCGTTCATTACCAACATGCATGAGCTTCGCGACATTGTTCAGGAAGTCTGGTTTTCATACAAGGATGGCAAAGTCGACTTGGTGAACGCTTCTCTCATCGCGAACACAGCTATCGACTTGGTGCGGCACGCTGAGTCTGAATTTGATCTAACGCTTGTACGCCCAAAGAAGTACCCCCAGAAGGATTTCCCCGTATGGGGTAAGTTATAGATTGAACCTTTCGATATCACAGCCGTTGACACTTCGCAGTACTACCAGCTCTTTTGTTGATCAGTCAGCATCCGGACATGATCGGCCCATCCGATCTTGTGGACTTCCTGTTCCCCAGTGGCCTTATGATGCCTGGCTCTCATGCGTGCTCACAAGTTTACTGGTGTATGTGGCCAGTCTACGCCGGCCTAAAATACTACCTGGATGCGGTTAGGACTTCGAAGAAGCCTAGAACGGATATTCCCATCGTTTCGAAATCTGCCTTTAATCCAGTCGGTGGCGTCCACAAGGATACCTACCGCACGCTTGAACTGGCGCGGATGTTCCGACACACTACTTCGCGCCATGACGAGACAATCGCCATGGACGAAGTATCTCGCGGTATGGCGCATATGTTCAAACATCGCCAGATCCCTATTTGGACTACTGTAAGTGCTTATGAAGACACAAAGCGCATAATATACTGATATACGGGTAGTTTGGAATACAGATACTGCTCGACATACAAGACATTCTAACTAAAGACCATCTGCACGATCCGTTCGATGAGCTGAATGTGCGCGTAGATCGGGAGGTGGCCATGAAAGAGGCGCTGGAGCGTAGCTGGATACAACCCTTCCCGACTGAAGGATATGCAGCGGATATTCGAAAGGACATGGCCACGGACCTTACCTATACCAAAGCAGTCGCGGATGATCCATGCGAAACCCTGAAGCCCAATCCGATCCGATGTGGACTTTTGATGTACGACGCTTATCTGCAACTCAACACCTCAGGTTATCAGCTAGAACGCGCGTTGGGTCAGATTTGCATGATGACACACTTATACGTTGCTACCAAGCTATTGCATCCTGAAAGCCCTGTATGGCCGGATATGGAATACCTCATCCACCAGCAAGACGAAACGAGGCTTTTCTTCGGTGGTGCCCCCCAGACTCTCGGTGAGTGCCTTCGCAAGGTCTATCTAATGGTAGGACGGACTGCATCCGATGCAGCCCGTGAGCCACGAGGAAAGAAGGCTTCCAAAACGCTGAAGGAAATGCGGAAGCTAAGAGACGGCCGTTGGTTACAAGAACCCAGTATCCTGGCTCCGATCTTCCTGGAGCGAAGTTTTGGATGGGCAACTACCGACGCAGCTGTTGACGGTACGTACACACTTAACGTGACCAGCTTGTCAGAAAGACACTGACGCTCGATACACGAAAACAGATAAAGTTAGACAACTCAATAACACCCTTCGATCGGAAACAGAGCTGGTCCGCCTAGCCAAAAAGTTTAACAGTTCGCGCGATCAGGTATGGTGGACACTAGCAAGCCGTCGCTGGCGCCCATACATTGAAGAGCACTCCGCAAACGACAACGGTCCTACCGCCCTCCTCCGCGACCTTATTCTCTGGCTAGAAGGCGATGCCATGGACCTCTACTTCAGCTGGCAAGCTTTGCAAGACCAATGCGCAAAAGTTTGGCACCACCTCGAACGCTCCCTCTCCACTGACCCCTCCTGGGACAACAAGTGGAGCCAAGATCCGCGGATGGGTATCTATATTCTGGAAGGCGCCGCCGCCGACGAGGAGCACTGGGGCTGCATAGCAAAAGACGACAAAGCGTTTGCATCTCCTTTGCGAAAAGCACACGACGCCATCCAAAAAGTCATCATGGAAGTCCAGCCAGAACCCCAAACCGCCCTCGGTATATTCGACAAAGACCCCAGAATGCTTGATGACTGCGTAACTCACGGCGGCGAAGTCTGCCTCGCCCGCCTCGCCAAAGAAAACAAAACCTTCGTCACCTCCGTCTTCGGCGGCCAAGACCACCTTCTTTTCCTCGACTTCTACAAAAACTGGCCCGAACTGGCCAAGGAGAAATTCGTATACTCGAACGTCGTCCAAAGCGTTGCCAATGCCGGCCGTGATTTGAATGAAGCGAAGGAAGCAGAGATAAAGAAGAAGACGGAAAGCATGACGCGCTTCTACGATCCTGAGGATGATAAGTATTATCGCATTCAGGATCACACTTTGGTATCGGATGACGAGGACGATGATCCTTGTGCTGATTGTCCGAGGTGTAAGAGGAGGAAGTTTTTGGGGCATCGGTACCCGACCTATGCGGGGCCGCATCATGGGGAGGTGGATCGGGAGTTGTGGGATGAGGATAGTGAGCGGTTCACGGATAGTGAGGAGGATGGGGCGTAGGTGGTGGTGGTGGTGTTGGTGGTGGGTGAGGGGTTGAAGGAGCTGAGCAAACTACAAGATCTGTTGAATGCATACTGTGTATAATATTGGCGGGATAGTCATCTTGTCTGATGCCCATGTGAGGGCAGGTCTATATCGAAGCCCTGGAGGTGGATGGGCGCTATGTCCAAAGGAGCCTAGCGGCCATGCTGATCGCCAAGCCTTTCCCAAACGGCGTCTCTCATGCTGCGAAGAACCTTGCCACCAGCCACCTTACATCGCGACCCTGTCAACACAACCGCAAACGTAATTAACGATGACCGTATATTGTGTCGCATTCGCTCGCCGCTACGATATTTGATGCACTCAGTTACCCTCGACAACAATGTAACTTCGCTGTCGCAATCACGCGCGACGGACGCGTCTTGACGCGACGGACCTAGCTAAGACTATTGACATCGCGTCACGAATGATGGACTATAGATCACAGGCCTTGTTCGCAAACCGGCGCGCTGCTTCATGGGCATCGTCTGTTCGGTCTACCTACCATTTATTTTGACAAAGTTGACGTCAACGGGCGCTTCGCATTCGCGGTCTTCGGACTGCGTTTGTGGGTTCAGTAGCCGGGGCTCTCCCTCCATCTCCAGATGAATGGCTGCTGAACAAAGGCAGCGCCCGAGAGTAATGCTGATGCGTCCCGATGGGTTTGATCTGCTCGGCAGTGACAGCTCGTCGGTGATGTTGAGGCAGTGAGCCTATCTGGCGGCTTTACCCTGCTGCTGCATCCTCTTTGTTCCTGATCTTCGGAGCAGTTGAGCATCGATGGGCGCACGGCATAGGTGGGATTGACGTTTCGTTTCAGCTCATACATTTTCTTCTCTCCTTCCCGGCAACATGCCGTTATTTGCGGTTCCGCAGGTCTTCTGGTTGCCTAACATGTGGTCGTCGCAGGCTACACCACCGTTATGCGTAATACCGGATTAGGTCCCCACGGCCTGAACTTGTTAGTTCTCAGTCATGATTGGTTTCCGCGCACCTTCACGTCATCTGCCGATCCATGCCCGCTTCGCATGGCTAGGCAGCCATCTTCAACAAGAGAACACGGACTCGCACAACTTCATCTGTCAACTTTCATCGTCAATATGCAATGCTATACGCGCGAAACCTTCATGGAGGAGTATGCCTTCCCTTTCAAGCCGGCGAAAGATTTTGAACGTGCTGGTATCCCCGCTCAATATGCCTCTGGTCACCCAAAGGAGTGGTCGCAAACGCGCGATGTTATCAACTTCAGCGCCGATCTGCCACAACAATCCGAGATTACATACCGAAGTTACGATACCGCTGTGAGCTCTGATAAGAAGTTGCTGGCCATCAGCAGTAACGTGGGGCGAATCTTGATATACAACATTCAGACCCGACAGCTGTGCGAGGTCCTCGAAGGAGCTGGATCGGTGGCGTTCAGGCCTTCTGATACCAATGGACAAAGTCATGCAGAAATCGAGCAAACCTCCGGTGCAGGGACTCCGAGGCCTGGCTACACCCTGGTGAGCTCCGTCCTCGATGAGACCCAGCGTCGCGGGCGTACGACCGATCAGCTCATTCTTTGGGATCTCGACCAAAACGGACGCACACTCGACAAAGAAGAGCCGATTGATCCCTCCGTCTGGGCTACGAAAGCTATCGATGCAATTGCCCCCGAACTTGCAGCAAACCACGAATGGACCAAGGAGTTCATCGATGCGTCCTCGCTTCATACAGAGTTCGTGAAAGCGCTCAGTCACGTAGCCGCCGACCATAGCAGGCGCCACAACACCATCATTGATAATGCGGCATTGGGCGGTTTCGGGTCTAAATGCTTCAGCAAGGACGGCAGACTGATGCTGTACCGTTCGAACAACCGTACGACTCAAAGCGGCATGCGTCCAGCAGAAGACTTGCCGCTCGTCGTCATCTATGATGTCGAAGCAGGTAAAGAGATGCATCGCCTTACTGGACACACGGATGCCATCATGTGGTCAGCTATGAGCCCGGACATGGAGTGTGTTGCCACCGTGTCTTGGGATGGCTCGCTACGCATGTATTCCGTCTCGACTGGGGCTCTCATTTGGACTACAGACAAATCAGGTGGTCAAAGTTGGGCCGGCGCATTCTCGTAAGCACTCCTCCAGTACATACTACACATCAGACAGATACTAACTCAGCTTACCAACCTATAGGCCAGACTCAAAGCTCATCGTCTGGAGCACTAAGAGTGGCTCAGTGGTGCAGGTTCACGATGTCTCTGACGGGCGAAAGGTAGCAGTCATGCCAGAGAAATTCTCCCGCTGGTGCCGGTACTTTGACTGGCATCCAACGCGGCCAGAGATTGCGCTTTGCGCTGGTAAAGAAGCATATGTCTGGAACCCCTTGGATGGTCCCAATGGCAAGATACTTCAGCATTTCAGCATCGAGGGCAACGAACGACTGAGTGTGACTGAGATCCAAGCTGTTCTATGGATGAATGAAGGTCGATTACTGGGTATCGAGTCGAGCGAAGGGTCGAGCCTGATCTACGACACTGAAAGCAACGCGAAAGAGCTGTTCTGGCGACCTGCTGGCACGATGGCTAGTTATATTACGGGCAGTCTATGCGGTATGTTCCGAGACAAGGAAGAACAGGATGTATACCTCAGTGTCGATGGCGATGGAACCGCGCGGTTCTGGCGGACAAGTGTCCCAGCTCTTCCGTCGTGGTGGGACAAAGAGCCGATTCCAGTCGTCACAAAGAAAGCATTCCCCGAGACCGGGAAGTATGTCAAAATTACGAAGACATCGGGCAAAGCAACTTCACAGGATGAAGCTACTGAACAGAGTTCGGCTGAAAAGGGTGCGGCGTTGTAGACTGCTGAGAAGAGTCCTACGCCAGTGGACAAACGGTACCTCGGCTTTGAGTTCGTCGAGGCTGGTATGGAGAGCTTGTATCATGTTCAGTGTTGCGATAGTGTTTTGAGCGCTCGTCATGGTAATGCACCCCACCCTTCCCGCTTTTTGCTTTTTTCGCCAGTCTGACTGCATCACCCAATATTTCGAACGTACCAATTACAACCAACAACAAATTGACACTTCACGATACCCAACATCTGCTGCAGGGCTGCAGCACTGGGCTTACCCAGGATGGGGGAACCGGTAGCGAGTCTTGGTCACAATCAATGTCAGTGGCTGTGGATACAACGGATTTCGGCGCCGGCACGGTACAGTCTTCCTTGTTACCCGTGATCACACAATCTTGCGAACAGCTGACACACTGCTTTCGGCACATCGGCGCATACGCCACCATACACTTTCCGTTATCTTCGCCGCTGTCCCACACTAATCGGTTGCTCGGATTGCGCAATCCGGATCGTGTGCGCATATTGACGATGCGAAGATCGTTGAGTTTTCGACATGTTGGGACACGCAGTATTGCCTCACGGCTGGCTAAAGGCGTTGCGGTCCGGGCAACCGTCTCCGCGCTTACGTTGTACCCTTTCAGCCTGAACCCCACACCGCCATTCGCTTAGCCCCACGCGGTGCGGCTTATTGTGCTGTGTACCTTATATGAACCATGGAGGAACAGATGACTGACGTGCGAAAATCCCTCGTCGTCCTTTTCACGATTTGCACGCTGGTCGGACTTTCGTTTTCAAGGTCATCCTAAGCTTGCGCTCTTGCTGCTTCTTCTCATTGGAGTATCGACGACCTTCGTTTGCCTTGCTAGCAATCTTGTCCACGAGCATCGAGTTTGACACTCCTGCTGTAGACTAAACCAGCAGAAACGCTAAGACTTTGTGCCTGTCACGCGTTTCGATTCCGCATTGGTCCCGCGTTCCAATTGACTTGTGCAGTGTCACTAAACACAGTAAGCTACGCCTCCTAAGCCATGTCGGCCGTCACGTCCCTGTATAACCAACCATCCCGTCGTGGTATAAAAGTTTCCCGCGGAGATCACAGGTACTATCCTTGTTCACATTCCCACCATGATACAACCTACCCAAAATGGCGAGCGCTATGAGCTCACAAGCCCCACGGAGATGCCCAAAGCGGGTGCATTCCTTTGGAACCAACGTATGATGATTCAGGTCACATGTCGTGGTTTTGCAACTGCTCAATACATGCAACCCGAGCCCGCGAAATATGCCTACGCGCCCAACCTCGAAGCGAAGACCTTTATGCAACCGGAGCAAAACTACTATGCTCACCACCCGGGCCGGTTCGTATACATCAAGGATGAGGAGAACGGCGAGATCTTCTCGGCGCCGTATGAGCCGGTAAGGGCAAAGTTGGATCGCTTCACCTTCGATGTAGGCAAAAGCGACATCAGATGGCTTGTGGAGAAGTCCGGTATTCGTGTCGAGATGACCTTCTTGCTACCAACCGACGATGTGGCTGAACTTTGGAGCATCAAAGTGACCAACATCTCGGGTCGCAAGCGCAATCTGAGTATCTATCCCTACTTCCCACTGGGCTACATGTCATGGATGAACCAAGAGGCGGAGTGGAATACGAACGTGGGGGGCGTGGTGGGGAGCTGTAAGACTCCGTATCAAAAAGCGGAAGACTACCCAAAGACCAAGTATCTGAAGGACAAGACCTACTTCCTCTGCGAAACTACACCAGTATCATGGGAAGCGAAGCAAGAAGCTTTCGAAGGCGAAGGAGGCCTACAAGCGCCATCGGCACTGAAAGAGTCACAGCTTTCGAATAGCGACGCCCGTTACGAAACTCCGACCGCAGTCGTTCAGTATTGGGCCGATCTGGGCGAGAATGAGAGCAAAGAGTACAGGTTCCTTTTCGGTCCTGCATACGACGAAGCCGAGATTCTCGACATGCGCAAGAAATACCTCAACAAGATGGCGTTCGCGAAGGCCGCCAAAGATTACGAAGACTACATCCAGCGTGGCAGCGGTTGCGTACGTCTCGAGACTCCGGACAAAGATCTCGACAACCTGGTCAACAACTGGCTGCCCCGACAATTGTACTACCACGGCGACGTAAACAGACTGACGACCGATCCGCAAACGCGAAACTACCTCCAAGATAACATGGGCATGAGCTTCATCAAGCCGGAAGTAGCGCGCAAAGCCATCACGACAGCGGTCGGTCAGCAAGAGAAGAACGGCTCGATGCCAGACGGTATTCTACTAGCCAAGGGAGCGGTACTGAAGTACATCAACCAAATCCCTCACACCGACCACTGCGTCTGGCTCCCCATCGCCCTCGAGATCTACCTCAGCGAAACCGGCGACTACGCACTGCTAGACGAAAAGGTGACCAGCATGTACGGCGACACATTCACAGTCTTCGAGCGTTTCAGCCGCGCCATGGACTGGCTCCTTTCATCAAACGCGCGAGACGACCGCGGACTCTCCTACATCGCGCAGGGCGACTGGTGCGACCCGATGAACATGGTCGGTCCCAAAGGCGTCGGTGTGTCAGGCTGGCTCACCGTCGCAACCGCCTACGCCGTGAATCTATGGGCGCAAATCTGCGAAGACGCCGACAAACCTGAGGTCGCGAAGAAATACCGTACCGGCGCTGAAAAAGTCAACGAATCAGCTAACGAGCATCTCTGGGACGGCGACTGGTTTGCCCGCGGCATCACAGACGACAACGTAACGTTCGGCATCAAAGACGACAAAGAAGGTCGTATCTGGCTAAACCCACAAGCATGGTCCATCCTCGGCGGCGCAGCCTCCTCAGAGCAGATCTCGAAAATCCTGCCTCAGGTCGACGAGCAACTCACAACACCCTACGGCGTCGTCATGTTCGGCCCGCCCTTCACCGCCATGCGCGAAGACGTCGGTCGCGTAACGCAGAAATATCCCGGTCAAGGCGAGAACGGTTCCGTGTATAACCACGCCGCTGCGTTTTACGCCTGGGCCCTTTACGGCATCGATGAAGTCGACCGCGCGTATGCTACGCTGCGCGCTATGATCCCCGGTCCTGATGAGGAAGACTTGATCCGCCGGGGCCAACTCCCTATTTTCATTCCTAATTACTACCGTGGCGGGTATGGGATTAAGCATCTTGACCGCACGGCTGGTCGCTCGAGTCAGTTGTTCAATACGGGGACTGTGAGTTGGGTGTATAGGTGTTTTATTGAGGGGCTGTGTGGGTTGAGGGGTGTAAGGGAGGGTCTGAAGATTGCGCCGAAGATGCCGAGTGATTGGGAGGAGATGAAGGTGAGGAGGGAGTTTAGGGGTGCGGTGTTTGATGTGAAGATCAAGAGGGGGGATGTTAAGGATGTCAAGGTTGTGGTTGATGGGGAAGAGGTGGAGGGATGCGTTGTCAAGAATGTTACGGCTGGGAAGACGTATAAGGTGCTTGTGGAGGTACCGAGGGCGAAGAAGAATGCGGTGAATGGGACGAGGTCGAATGGGATTAAGACGAACGGACGACTGACGAATGGGTCGGTGACAAACGGGAACGGTACAAATGGCACGAATGGCACGAAGTAGAGGATTCATAGTTTGGCGGGAATGTCAAGGCTTCATCATTTTAGGTTCTTACCATCGCAGTTCATCGAAAACTCTTCACTTAATGCCGTCGAGACGTGAGAATTGAAGTGATGAATACGCTTTCCCTAACGCGAAAAGAACATTTCTACACTATTCCTCCACGCACAATCCGCAACCTCCTCAATACCAACACCCTTAATCCCCGCAACAACCAACGCCACCTTCTCCATATTGCAACTCTCATTCCTCTCCTTCACCATATCGCCCATACTGAACTTATCCTTCTTCTTACTTCCCCAGGACCACTTCGTCGCGTTCTTCAAATACGCTTTTGCGACTTCACTAGACGCTTGAATATCACCCCAAGGGGCATCTGTTTCAATCTGCAGCTTATCCGACGGCACATGCCTGATCATATCCAAGCTATCGCGATCTCGGAAAGCGAAATTGTTAACACTAACATGCAGGCCCATATCGATCAAGCTCTGCATCTGCACGGTCGTACCGACGAAAGAGTGGACTAGGCCGGATCGTAAAGGCAGCCGATCCATGTAGGGTTCGAGTATAGCAACGAAGTCTTCGAACGCGGCGCGACAGTGGAGGAAGAGGGGTAGCTTCCATCCCGCGCTCACAATCATATCGAGCTGGCGCTTGAACACGCGTATCTGAACGTCTTTGGGGGCTTCGGCCAGCTTGTCGTAGTCGAGGCCAAGCTCTCCGAAAGCGGCTAGGAGGTGGGGCTCTTCTTTCATGGTCGTCGTGATGCTGTCAGACAAGCCCTTGTAGTATTCTTCTCCACCTTCGTCTGCTTCGACGGCATGGTATGGGTGAACACCGATTGTGACTCTGCATTGCTCCGGTCGTTTTCGCGCTATGCCGAGATTGAAAGACGCGTCGGATGCGTACATGCCTGTCAGCATGACTTTTTCTACTCCGGCGGCTAGTGCACGGTCGAGCACAGCTTCGAAGTCTGGCTCATGGTATTGTTTGCCCCGGCAGATGCCGGCGAACTCTTTGGCAGTTGCGGTTACGGCGACCTGGATATATCGACGTGTTGGTTCAGCCAAGTCGCGTCAACACGGGAATGGGTGGGCGCGTACGTCTGCGTACCGGAGTTTCTTGAATGGAGCGGAGGGAGCTGCACTGGGAAAGCCTTCTAGTAACGTTGGTGCCGACATCGTTTGTCAAGACGGGATGATGTGATATGCGTGGCGTCGAGGTGATGCGGGTTCGCGAGGTGCGTCACTTTTCGGAAGTGACACTTCCGATTTCGGAATGTGGAAGTGGAGCGGTTGTCTTGGCTCTAGTTCGCCGGCCTACTGAGACATCAGACATTAGACATGAAGCGTTTTTCATCAATCCGACGCTTTTCGCAGAGTTATATTTATCGCGAATCACGCTTCCGCGCTTCCACTGGTCCTCAATGGCCAACAGACGTGGCAACCCTTGCAACAGCCCAAAAGGTGTCATCGGGTTGAGGGTAAATAGACTGGGCTCTCCTGTGGTCAGCTTCACTGAAAGTGACGAGCGATGGAATCTACAGACCATCTTCACATATAAGATGATGTTGGCTCTGCGGCACTTCATGCATTCCTCTTTTGCGGGGTACATCAGCTCGCGACTGCCCCTCTACCGCGCCACAGACCTGCGCTTCTCCTTGCATATCTGATCGATCGATTGAAATTCCTCTTTCATCAACCCCGCGCCCCAAAGCTTTACCCCATCGGCTCAGTATCGGGAAAAACATACGAAAACCGCACCATAGCGCTATTGCACGTTACAGCGCCTGACACACGCATCACTGTATCCACTATTGACCGCATATCGTCATAGGATCATCATACCTGACAGAGCCGCACAAAAGCTCTGCGTCATGCCTGTAAACATCACTAACGATGCGTGGGCAGGTACTGACGAGACGCCGACTGACTCTCTGACACTACCTCAGGTTAGTGGACCCTACAAGGTAGACAAACAAGTTATAGAAGGTAGTACTGGCATGACAAGTTTGCGCATCATACTCACTTTCTACAAGCCTTTCCTATCGCCGGGACTGAGGTAATCAACGCTTTCAACTATTACAAATCGCTATGGGGCAAAACCGCCAAGATCGTTGTGCGACTGCCTACGGGAGAGACCGACAATTACTTCTTAAAGGCAGGGCTCCTCACAAGGGAATTCTCAAAACGTTGTTGCTAATGACAGCCAGGTCGTATCTCTAGGATCAGTGGGGAGGCAAATGTGCGAAGGCGAATACGAATCGCTCAAAGCAATCTACACTGTTTCTCCTTCGTTCGTCCCACGACCCTACGCCTGGGGAGAAATTGAAGAGAACGGATCAACGGCCCATTTCCTACTCGCGGCGTTTCGAGACATAGAAGAACAGGTATGGGTATTGCGGTTCTCAAGGATATCCAAATGCTGATGCGAACAGCCTGCAGATCCGGTCAAATTGGCCAAAGGACTAGCGGATGTGCATCTACGATCTGTATCTCCAACAGGCAAATTCGGCTTCCACCTCTCGACGTGCCATGGGCGGGTAACTCAGGCTGTCGATACATGGGAGGTCTCCTGGTGTGCGCTGTTCAGTAAGCACCTAGGCCATGTCATGGAGCTGGCGAAGCCAATTCTCAACTGGCCAGCATTCGACGCGGTATGCGATCTCACCCTCCGGAAGGTAGTGCCACGTCTATTGTTACCTCTCCAAGAAAAAGGCCGGATCTTGAAACCGTGCCTGATCCACGGCGATTGCTGGGATGGTAACACGGCGATCGACGCCAAGACTGGCGAGGCTTTCGTTTTCGATGTGGCTTCTTTCTACGGGCACAACGAGTACGACATTGGCAATTGGAGAGCACCGCGCCACCGCGTGAGTAGCAAGGCCTATAACGACAGCTACAAATGTCATTTCCCAGTGTCCGAACCTGTCGAAGATTGGGACGCGCGGAATCGTCTGTATTCGTTGACATTCAACATCGGCAATGCGATGTATGTCCCCGAGTCACAGCAGCGCCAAGTCGTATTCGATGATATGAGTACCCTATGTCAGCTCTTCTGTCCGGGCGATCTGCAAGCCACGATGGAGAAGCTCTCGGAACACAGTGCGGTCGGCAAGGAGCTGCAGAATTATTGAAGCACGACAGTTGACGAAAATAGCGATGATGTGGAGACTGGTGCGCAGAAAGAGGACGAGGCTTCGGGAAGCTGCTACTTTGACGAACATCTTGCTGTGCACTCGCAAGCTCGTTGCTACACGTTTTCTTTGCCGGGAGATATAGATTTTGAGCGAGTTAGTCGCATCGAAATAGACGTGAGCGTATGATGACGGCACTTTCTTGCATTTGATGAGAACCTTGGAATGGATGATGGCTGATGGCTGATGGCCGACAGTCCACGGGCTGCGACAAGGCGTCGACAAGTCTGTGCCCGGCGGGGCTACTAGGTAGCTTCCAATGCTGACTAAGCAGACCTCTTTACATCGTCGCCCGCCTTATGATATTCAGTCTCCTAATCAATAACAACCATTTGCACAAATTACATAATCACACGAGTGTTGATACGAGCGTTCCACGGTCTCCCTGAAGTAAAGTAACCATGCCTCGCCATGTCTGTAAATGCGCACAAAAGCGATCGCATCCAACTCAATGCGCAACATTGATACCATACGCGGCATACGGAAAGTCATCGAGACTAACCCTCAGCTCCGCCATACCATCATCCGACATGAGTCGACCGTCTTTAGCAGTGACAGGGCTTCTCGCATTTCCCTTCACTGGCGTTCCATACTCAGGCACGGTATCGTCTTCCTCCGTCCTCCCCATGAGAACATCCATCTCCCGCCCTTTACAAACCTCCGCAAGCCCAGGGTGTGGCACCCAAACGACTCGCATACCCGCTCTTCTGGCAGCCTCGACACCTGCAACTGAGTCTTCAAACACTAAGCACTCTGCAGGCTCCAATGTGCGCTCACCACGTGCTGTCTCGGCGGCATTCAACCTCTTCAAAGCGAGCAGAAAGATATCAGGCTCTGGCTTCTTCTTGCTATCAGACATCTCCGGATCATCGCCGAAGACGTGGAAGGCTGGATCATCAAATGCCGCATTGATAGCAGGTATATGCGATGTCTTCAGTGCGAACTTTCGCTGACCCGCTGAACTCGCTAACGAAAGCAGCACAGGCGGTAATGTCTTTGCTTTCAGGGTGGAGAGAAGAGTTTCCACACCTGGAAGCACCTTACTGTTCTCGAAGAGATGTGTAAACCCTTTTTCTTTCGCAGACCATTCAGCTGGTGTGAGGGGTACTTGTGCCCAGTCTAGTAAGCGCTTGGTACCCTGTACTAAGCGTTAGCACGACGGGACAAAACGATAGGGCTGAGCAATACAGACCTTTGTGCCTCTGCTTTGCTGCGTCGCCTTGATTGCCCATGGGTAATCTGGCCTTCCGTACTCGCGCAGTATGTTGTTGTAGATGTCTGTGTAGATGTCTTCTGAGTTGATGAGCGTGCCGTCCACATCGAAGATGCAGGCGCGTACAGGCGGCAGCGAAGCCATGGGATTCACAGCTGATGGAGTGCGATCTGGGCGTCTTCTCTTGGCTTCAGTCGTGCAAGATGATCTGCTCCAAGGCTGGGCAGCTGAAGGACCCTGAACTGCGGACCTGAGCATTTACCCCGCGGTCACTAACCCTATCGGGACTAGTGGGAAGGCAGCATGTGAAGTGGCTGCGCTTGACGGCATTGTTCGAGATACGCCTTCTATGTTCATTACTGCTTGTAATTGGATTGCAAGTCAGACTATATCCATGACTGAATCTATGGCAGCTGACTGCTACGCCTAGAAGCGGTACTTCCAGACCAGTGGACTTTCACACAAGCCCGGGCTACTCTAGTCTATCTTTCGCATCTGCCCCTCATCTCTTGCACAGCCTTCAGCTAGAGGTGCCTGGTCACACAAATGCGCTACAGCATATTCGGCTTCAGTGACCGAGTATCAAGGTCGGCGAGGAGAATGCATTTCGTGGCGAAGAATGAAGGTCGCGAATCCTGTGCCCTCGGCTTGCCAGCGAAGTCCACCTGAGGTGATCATTCAATACACTACGATGGCGCCGCAGAAGTCAGCCAATATCTCGTCTATACCAAAATACCAATAGCGAGCGATAGCAAAGCCAGCTCGCACGAACTGGCAGTTGCTTCAGCTGTCAAAATACCAGCCCACCAGTCCTGTCTACACCCTCAGACTCGCAAGTTTCCTAATTCAGATCTACATACTTTGATATATGCCAAGGGTACAGCCGCACATGTATCGATTCTCTGCAGTCAGCTACACCTCTCCAATTAGGACCATCGGACATGCTCGATCCTGCGTTCAGCTACTACTGCGTCTATGCCAGCCCAAACAGACCTCAGTATCTGACTATGTAAGCTATCCTGCTTCGGCCCTACCACAAACTATCGCTTCATCCCGCTCCGATTACATGTCTGCAGATACGAAATGCCAATACACCGAAGTGGGCATCTTACATGCATCCCACCTCCTCTTCGCAGCTTAGGTCGCGATAGAAGCAACACCCCACTCATACCAACACCGCCTTATAAGTGACATACAAGCGCGCATGACTCAGCTCCTGCCCATCACATGTCGCGCATCCCACCACAAGGCTGACAACTAGGTACATGGTGGCTTGCAGGGCGACAGGAAGCAGCAAGTGCACACCTTGACGTCGCCAAAATCTCCACTTAACACTTGGGCCAGACTACCGTCGAACCCACACCCCACCGGTGTAGATACCTGAACTAACAAGGTGAGAATATGGCTAGGCTCGGGCGACGGCAGTATATCTTGTTCGCAGGATTTTCTTGGGTTCCCCACACGGCCCGGGGTCGATCAGCCATGAGCGCCCACTTTGGAGTTGCTTCATCTTACGAACGGGAAGCTTGGGGGGGCGGATATCGTGTGATTGAGCTTGGCGGTTCTTGTGGCATTGCGCGGACTAGAGAGTACCCGTAGCTTGAACGAGCAATGCCATCGCATTGGCTGCGAATACGTTCTTCCAGGGTACAAGAGCACGTATAACAATGTCGACGATGTAACAAAGCCATTGTGCGAGGTTGCTGCAGCTAGACAAGAACACGATACAGATACGGTGTTGTAGGTAGGCGCGGCATAAGAGCGGCAAAGCAGCTTGGTGTCATGTACGGAGCACTATTCTTAGCGCGCACTCATTCCCGGGCTCGTATCGCACATCGCTGCATCGTGAGGCTAGGATCGGGGTGTGTAGGGCTACGGACCTCTCTCCGTACTGTCCCGCTGGGTTAGGCGCGCCATGTGCTCTCGCCCAGCAACACGGTCGGCCAACGACGGGCAATGTGCAACGGCCGGACATGCTGTTAGACCCTCTTTCCTCGTTTCTCGCACAGACTAGTTCGCAAGGCCGCCAGCAGCATGGCGCCCGATTTAAACGAAATTCAATAGGAGAATTGCTGAGGAAATAGATTAACGCTGCGTGTGTAATGCGTGTGCTGATTGGGTCGTGATAAGAGCCTTTACTTATCCGGTAATACCAAGCAGCGGGACACCTGCCTAAGCGAGTACTAACTTGATAGCGGTCCGTATGTTGGACCTGTTTTTTTCTTGCCTGTCAGCCGCAATGTCTACATGTCGACTATTGAAATGTTGCAGCTCGCGTGCTGACACGTGCAGACAAAGAGGCGCTATACGCATGCAGCCCCGGCTGTCGCCAATGTACCTACCGGACTTGGAAGACAATGCGGCTGCGATGTGGGCATCGGTGTGATCAGGCGCGGTTAGGGCATGGGCTGGGAGGCGGTCGAGGTTTTAGGAATACTAGACGCTTATATACATGGTCTTGCCTGGGATGCAATACGACACCCAGGGTGTTGTTAAACAGCCGGTGCTCCTTCTTGCACTCGGAACTTTTGTCGATTCAATATACTTTTGTCGCTCGTTTGACACTTTCCCATTGCGCCACACATGGCGCAACTTTATGCCCTGCGGCGGCTGCCATTTAGCCTGCATCTCCTGGTACTGTCCCTGGTTTGCTCCGCTAGCGCGCAGAGTTCTGCGGCGCCCGAACTCCCTAGCAATACCACAACCCCGGAACCGAAGAGAGGATGGTATTCGGAAGGATGTTACACAGACAATGTCGGTGGCCGGTCGCTCTCCGTGGGAATGGGAGTGACTGGTGGTATGACCAACGACAAGTGCAAGGCTGCATGCCGAGCTGGAGGTTTCGTCCTGGCTGGTACTGAGTATGCCGGCGAATGTTTCTGTGACAACCAGATTCGAGCCAATGGCGGTCCTGCGCCTGACGGCGAGAAGGGGTGCAACATGGCATGCAATGGCAACCAGACAGAGATGTGTGGCGGCCCTGATCGCTTGACATTCTTCCGTTTCTACACAGGTGGTGAATCTTCCACCTCGGCCACTGCTACGCCTACCGCTTCTGCAACAGCATCTGCTACTGGAGCATCCAGCGCAGCGCCCATTGCTACGGGGCTCCCGGAAGGCTTCGAGTACAAAGGCTGCTATGTCGATGGACCCGGATTCCGCATCGTCAACTACCAACAACCCGATGATCAGAAGATGACCGTTGCGTCATGCACCAGTATATGCGCGAAAGCTGGCTACGAGATTGCAGCCATGGAGTACAGTTACCAATGCTTCTGCGACAATGCTGTTAGTACAATCCAAATCTGCAGGTTCTTCCATTGCTAATCCACGTAGGTGAGAATGGGCGGCAAGCCTGCTTCTTCCGAGTCGGAGTGCAACACCAAGTGTGCTGGTAACCAAGCCGAGACGTGCGGAGGCCCTAACCGGATGAGCATTTACTCAAGCCAAGATCCATTGAAGGTCGTGAAAGTCCCAACACCCACCCAGAACGTGAGTGACTGGCAATACCAAGGATGCATCACCGACATCGGCAACCAAGTCTTCCCGCACAAGCTGTTAAACCAGACTGGTAACTCACCAGAATGGTGTCTGAGCCGATGCCAAGCCTTCGGTTACATGGCCGCCGGAATGGAGTACGGAGAAGAGTGCTACTGCGGTGACCTCGATGGTATTGAGAAGATTGGCTCGAAGCCCGCCCCAGAGTCTGAATGTAGTATTGCTTGCC